CTAACATACGTTTCCTCTATTTATTTTATCATCTAATCACTAAATTCTAGGACCTAAAACATGAAATCAAGGTAGAAATTAGGGTCTTTTGGGTAGAGTTAGGTTTTTGAAAATTTTGGGCGATTCAACCTCAATTTGGGGTCGGATCTTGAAACAAATTATATATTTGAACTCTTAGGGTTATGGGTGATTGGAATTTGGTCCGAGCCTCGAGTTTGGACCATGTGGGCCCGGTGTCGGATTTTGCTATTTTTGGAAGAATGGAAGGAAATTCATTTCTAGGCTATGGGATTATGTTGTTGAGCCTCATTTGATATTATTGAATTAATTATGATTAGATATCATTGTTTCGGAGTCGAATTCTAGAGGAAAGGCGGTGTTAGAGGCTTGATTGCTATTTTCGGACCGAGGTAAGTGTTTGATCTAACTTTGGCTTGAGGGAATAGGATTAGAGTATCATGAATGCTATTTGCTAATTGATCGAGTACGGTGTATAGGCGTGGTGACGAGTGTCTATACATCGGAGTCTAGCATGGCCGTGGGTCTTTGTTTGTACTTGTTTTTGAGATGATTTGGAACTCTTCTAAGCTACCACAAGTTTTTCTGCAAATGTGAAGAGTTTGAGGATAAGTTGTGAAATATTAATATTTTGGAGCATTGGCTCGAGTGTTAAATACCATTGAGTAAGAAATGAACGTATTGAAAAGAGTTGTGATTAATCCCTTGCCGGGATGGGTTGATTACAGTGAGTATTGCCCTCGCCGGGTTGTGAAAGATATTGTTATTGTTCCCTTGCCGGGACTTGGTTGTTATTTGTGTTATTCCCTTGCCGGGATAGTTCATATTACTTGTTTATTCCTCTTGCCCGTTTGGTTGTGACTGTTGTTTGGGTGAGGAAGAGTGAAATTGCACGAAGGGTCATTCCGTGCTATTCTTGATTATAATTGCACGAAGGGTCATTCCGTGCTATGTTTTGACTATTTATGCACGAAGGTCCATTCCGTGCTCTGATTTGATTATATTTGCACGAAGGGTCATTCCGTGCCTTGAGATGAGAGCTACGTGAGGGAAAGCACGAAGGGTGATGCCGTGCATTTTATTTGATTGCTTTGGGTGAGATTGAGAGTAAAAGCACGAAGGGTGATGCCGTGCAACTATTGAATTTCTTATTCCTTGATAATTATTGTTGTGCCATGTTTCTTAATTACGCTGATGAACTTTATATCCAATTTGTACTCTCCCCATAGCATGTTCCCTCCCTTTTAACTGTTTAGTTTCGGTATTTTCTTTCCTTTTATTGCATATTTGTGTATAAAAATTGTACAGGTTGGTTTGGTAGTCCTGTCTAGCCTCGTCACTACTTCACCGAGGTTAGGCCAGGCACTTACCAGCACATGGGGTCGGTTGTGCTGATGCTACACTCTATGCATTTCTTTGTGCACAGATCCAGGTGCAGCTTTTGGACAGCAGCAGTAGGATTCTTATCCGGGAGCTATCTTCAGTCCAGGGACTCTCGAGGTAGCCTAGCTGGCGTTCGCAGGCCGAAGTCTCTTTCCTTATTTCAGTTTGTTTTCATTGTACCGAAACAGACATGTGTATTTCTTTCATTCAGACTTGTTGTAGTATTCTATAGTAGTCCGTGAGCTAGTGACACCAGATTTTGGGTAGGGATGTGTTTCAAACTTCCGCATTTTTATATCTTTTGTTAAACTTAAAGTCTTCCGCATTTCTTTAACTGTTGTTAGTATATTATGTTGTTGAGGTTGAATAGAGAATGTTTAATGTATGGCTGGCCTAGCTCCGTTAGTAGGCGCCATCACGACGCCCGATGGTGGGAAAAATCCGGGTCGTGACAACAAGCTACTGCTCTCCATACGAGAGGGCCAATTTGAGCCAAACAAATTTTGAAAAAACGACAAAAATCGAGTATGACTGAGTCGATAGCAGGAATAAATCCCAAAGTAAAGGGATAAGTATAAACAGAGGAAAAACCAATCCTATAAGAAGATATTCTCTGGTTTGGGTTAAGAATAACTATATGAAGGTCATCTCTCCAACGACAATCTTTTCGAACAGTGGAAATTAAGGGTTCAGTAATTAAAGAAGGATAAGTGTCAGCTCTCTCTAATTTAATTACTTGGTCACGAAGGGATTCTTTATCATGCTCGAAAGATAAATCAGTTGGCACTATTTCTTCGACCAAAGGTTCTTGCATCGACTCAGAATTTTCTTTGCCTTTAGAGGAAGATCTATTAATGAAAGAACCTCTAGAAGTAATACCAGAGCTAGAAGAAGGAGTGATGGAACCAGAGGTACCACCACGAATGGATCCAAGGCCACGAAGTCTACCCCCTCTACCCCTTCTATGTCTCACAGGGGCATTGGGGAAACTGTCAAGAATTGGGACTCTTCTAGGGTTGGGATTTGAAGATGACATGGTAGAAAGGCTTGAACAGAGGAAGAAGTGAATAGAAGTAAATAGTGAAATATTAGGTAAAAATTTGTGGAAGGAGGATTAAGTTTATATAAAAGCGACCGTCAAAGATTAAGAAGTGTAATGATGGAAAGCCTATAATAAAGGCAACTATCACTTCGTGAATAGTGGAGTTGAAGAAGCCTTGAAAAAAGGCTGCAGAATTACAGAGCTAATGAGAAGGAGACACGTGTGCGATGCATTAAATAGAAAAGACAACTGAAGCGTTAGTACTGTCATAGCATTAATTATGGCAAAAATTCCCTTTTTAATGAAGATCCACTTCCCAAATATTTAATTGATAAATAAATAAAAAGTGGGGGGACTATCTGTATTGGGAAAAAACTGAATTTAAATATTAAAGATGACATGTCATGACACGTGGACCGGTCAAATAGTCAAAGCATGACAAACAGTTAGAAGACACGAGCAACAATAGATGCGGGAGAGAAGATACGAGCTACTATCCAGATGAAACGAGACTCGTACCTGTTCGAGCCATTTAAAGCTCGAAGATCAAAAGGAATTGAAGATATGAATCTGATAGCGTAAAAGAGTCCAAATTCAACATTAAATGCCAAATACATTAGAGAATTTGTATTTAATAAGAATGATTGAATAACGTTTCTTTTAAATGTCATTTACTGCTCGTAATTGCCTCATTAAGACAAAGATATTACACTTTCTCTTAGAATTGACTATAAAAGGAGAAAGTCACAACATTTGTAAAAAAAATATCATTCCGATTATACTGAAATATACTCTTATTCATTGCTTTATTGTTGTTCACAAAATCTCTTATTTCTTGATTATTAATAACCCGATTTTTCTATTAAATTCTAGCTTTAACCAAATATTCAGTTTTCTGGTTAAACATAGCTAGCTATGAAGTATTAACCAACATATTTATTATTTCTTGATTAGTGTACCTAGCTACTTTTGTTGTTTGTCTTTTGACAGGGGTGAGTGTATAGAAATTTGCAAAAAATTATTATGTATATTTAGTAAACACTTTTTACTAAGTAGTGTTAATTTTTAAAACTAGCCTTTTAACCACTTAAAGAAACTAAAGTAGAAAAATGATCAAAAGGTGGGAATACTAAACAAAATGTGAAGCAACCTTCAATATATTGCCAAGTGCCAATCATAAATATTCTTATCACTATCATTTATCCACCTTTAGCTTTTTCTCTTTATGACATATTGTTCTGGTATTCCCAATTTTTAACCACTTAAAGAAAATAAAGTAGGAAAAAGGATGAAGAACTCCATCCTTGTTTTACGCTAAAGGTGTTTATTTTTGTTTTCTCTTTTTTGTTTCACTTTTTTTTTTTTTGGTCAAAATTAAAAAATTTATTTCAACCAAGTATATCTATTTACATCCACTAGTTACATTTGGACTCTATAACTAGTCTCCAAATTCTTCTATCTATGTAAAGGTATAAAAAAAATAACTCTTTCCAAAACCTCTCTACCTCTACTTAGGGTAGCTATTCAAAGACTCTAGGACTCTTCTCCATTTGCTAATTGTTGTCCTCTTGTATGCAATTGTATTACAATCTCTTTAATGATCTGTCGATCTCTCTCTTTTTGTCTTGAAATCTTCTTATGTTTCTTTCACTCCACAAATGGTAAACAGTAGCAGTATATAAGAATTGCAGGATCTGTGCTCGTGGTTTGCTGCTCCTTGTTTTCCTGCTAATCCATTATGTTTCTTCTTCCCTGTACTGATCTTCCTCTTCTCTCCTAGCCATTGAAGTATTGAATTCCAGATGTAGGCAGAGTAACTGCATTGAAAGAACAAATGCTGCAAAGTCTCCTCAACTCCTGTATTACACAAAACACAATTTGTTTGTACATTGACACCCCATTTCTGTATTCGATCCACGGTAGCTAACCTTCCCATAAGTGTCAGCCATAAGATAAACTTGTGTTTTGGAATAGTCTTTGATCCCAATACAAGTCCTCCCCATTTCAACTTCTGATTCTGTGGTAGGAAGGCTTGGTATGCTTTTTTGATTCTGAACTTACCTGTGATGCAGCAGTCTTGTAACGCCACATTTAAATCCTTGTTCAAGTACCATTTCTTTGCGTCCAATATTTTTCGTACTATCCAACAAGCTCTAGCTATAGTTGTCATTTGTTGTATGTCTTTTCCTTTGATATAGAATGTGTGGATCCATTTTATCCAAAGAAAATCTTTCTTCATTGCTACAGCCCATAACAGCTTGCTAAGAGCTGCTTTGTTCCAAGTATGAAACTCTATAAAATTTAGACCCCCTGTTGGCTTACACAATGTTTCCCATGTAACTAGTTCTCTCCTTGAGCTTTCATGACTGCTTGTCCATAAGAAGATTCTGCATATTCTTGTCATAAGCTGAATGACCTTCTTTGGGATTAAAAACACCCGGGCCCAATAAGTTTGTATCTCAAATAGAACACTCTTTATGAGTTGGACCCTTCCACTATATGCTAAGTACTTCGTAGACCAACATCTTATTCTTGCAGTCATTCTTTCAACTAGAGGTAGACACTATTGAACTGTGATCTTCTTTGATGATAGAGGAACTCCTAAATATCTGAATGGTATCTTCCCCTGTGAAAACCGCATCTCTTCTAATATTTGATTCTTCAACCTTGAGTTAACACCTGCCACACATAAAGAACTTTTCTCTAAATTGGCCTTTAATCCAGATACTTCCGAGAAGTGATTAAACTTCTTCATCATCAACTTCACTGAAATTACATCAGCTCTACAACACATGATTAAGTCATCCGCAAAACATATATGAACTATCTCCATCTTGTTGCATCTTGGATGATAGTTAAAATCTGGAATATGTCTCAACTCTGTAAGTGATCTATTCAAATACTCCATCACTAAGACAAACAAGTATGGAGACATTGGATCTCCCTGTCTTAAACCTCTCTTGGCTTGGAATCTGGGTGTAAGTCCTCCATTAAATAGCAATGAATAGCTCACTGTACTTACACATTCCATAATCAGATCGACAAATTTCATAGGCATCCCAAATTCTAGCAATATCATTCTGAGAAAATCTCAGTTCACTGTATCATATGCTTTCTTAATGTCTACCTTCACTAGACATCTAGGAGACACTCCCTTTTGTTTGTATCCCTTTACTAATTCATGAGCCACAATCACGTTATCCAGAATATTCCTCCCCTCAATAAAAGATTATTGTGAATGTCCTACTAGGTGGTCAACTACTAGTTTTAACCTAGTAGTAATAACTTTGGCAATCAGCTTTTATCGAGTTGTACAACAGGCTATGGGTCTGAATTCCTTCACAAAAGAGGGATTTTTAACTTTGGGGACTAGTGTTATAGTAGTACAATTCACCTCCTTTAGCAACTTTTCATTTTGGAAGAATTGTGTTGTTGTCTTTGTCACATCCTTCCCTATCAAGTGCCAGTACTTCTTAAACAATTCTGCTGGAAACCTATCGATACCAGGAGCTTTTTCAGCTGGCAGGTCCTTCAAAGCCTGAACTACTTCAGTTTCTGTCACTTCTTGAATAAGAAGTAGCTTTTGCTCAGCAGTAATACAAGGTACATCTCTTGCAATTCTTGGATCTAAACATGGCACTTCTCCTTCACTTGAGCCCTACAACTTTTGGAAAAAACTTGTAAGTTCTTTTTGGATTAGCTCAGGGTCATGTAGTTGAATGCCATCTTCTGTGCAGATTGATGAAACTCTGTTTCTCGCTTGTCTTGCTTTCAATGTTGCATGGAAAAATCTCGTATTTGAATCACCATATGCTAGCCATGTTGCTCTTGACTTCTGTCGATCACTTGTTGATGTATTGTTGCCCATTTCTCTAGTTGCATTAGGATCTCTTTTTCAGTTGTTATAAGTTGTTCATTGAACAAGTCTGCACTTAAGTCTAGTTGTACTTGTTTCAGTTCTTCTTCCAGTATACTGATCTTCCTCTCCAACATTGACATTTGTTTGTTCATCTGGGATGTCTCTATTTCTATAAACTGCAGTTTCCTCCAGATTGAGTACATGGTATGTCCATGCACCTGCTGTTCCCACACTTTATGTACTGCTTCTTGGAGGCTCTCTTGGGATAATAACACATTGACTAATCTGAATGGCCTTGGCAGTTTCTGCTTGGCCACTTCTGTTCTGATTATAATTGGAGAGTGATCTAAAAATTCTGGGATATGATAGTATGCTTCCAGTTTTCCATACTTCATAAACCATAAGTCATTTCCAAATGCCCAATCAATCAAACTGTAGATTCTTTCATTTGCCTCTCGTTTATTACACCATGAGTAGGTGCACCCTTTTCTATTTAGTTGGCCCAATCCAATTTCTTGAATGCAATTTTGGAAATCTTCTATTTCTGATTGTTTTACTGGCATCCCATTAACTCTATCATGCACAAAAAGGATTGTATTAAAATCTCCAATCACCATCCAAGGTTCTGTGATGGAACTGTTAATTTGTTTTAACATTCTCCATAGCTCCTGTCTTTCCTGTTGAGTATTCATCCCATATACAAATGCTATCTCACAAGCAAATTGTGACTCCTTGTCTTCAAACTTGCAATGTACCAGTTGCATATGAGATACTAGGATATTCACCGAAACCTTATTAGGTTTCCAACAAATCCACACCCTGCCTCTATTACTAATTAGGTAATTAGCATGTATTTTCCATTCTACTCCAAACTTTCTTTTTATTTTTTCTGCACTTTTCTGATTTACTTTAATTTCTAGACATCCCAGCAGTACCACTTTATTCTTAAGCAAAAAGGACTTCAATTCCTTTTGCTTATAGGGCTTATTCAGCCCTCTTATATTCCAAGAGCAAATGATCATGGAGGGTCTTTGTTCCTTGTGTCCCCTTTTGCCATATTGGCATTAGCTTTTTCAGGTTCTATCCTTAATGCACTGAATCTGTTCTTTTGAAGGAACTGCTCTACATCTTCAGTTTCTATCAAGGTTCTTGACTTGTTACCCTTAACTTCTACCATTTTATGCTTGCCTCTATTTTTACTCTCTTGAACTTTTTGACTTTCCTCTATTGTATTTACTTCTTGATTCTCCTTCTCGAGTTTTTCATTTGGTTTGCCAGCAGCTTCAATCACAATTTCAGTAACTGAACCTGTATTAGGTTTAGCCTTCCATTGCTGCTTAGTCTTCTTCTTCTGCCTCCTTGGTAGTTGCTGGACATTACTGCCTTCACTTACTCTGTTTTGTTCCTTGCACCTTGCTTTATGCCTTCCAGTTAGTAAGCATTCCTGACAATACTCTGGTTTCCACTCATACTCAATCAATTGCTCATAGTAGCTACCATCAGGCTCCTCTAGTGTAACTGAATCAGGGAGAGGCTGGGCCACATCCATTTCAATAAGTACCCTAGCATAAGATATCCTTTCTTCATTTGCTGTTAGCTTATCAGTACAAATTTGTTTTCCCAAACAACTAGAGATACGACCCAAATTTTCTATGTCCCAATACTGGATAGGTAAATTAGGAAATACTATCCATATTGGTACTGCATTTAGGGGTTCTTCAGCTAGTTTGAAGTTTCGCACCCATTGTTTCAGAATCACAGCCTGTTATTATAGGTATAAGTTCCATTCTGTTGTATCGTCAATTTGTCCTCTTCGTTTTCGAATCTGAATATGAAGTACCCTTCATCATGTAGATATACCTGTGGAGTTGTGACAGTATTCCATACCCCATAAACAAATCTCAATATTTCTTTAAAAGTAGGATTACCCCCTATGACATAGCCAATTAGGGCTGACCTCCACTTCTGATTCTGCTTTTCTATAGCATTTGCACTTAGCTTAACAATTTTATTTCCATCTTTCAATGTCGGAGGAAAGTAATTGAGCTCTTGCTCTAATTGTTGAGTTCAATTACCTTTAACTACATCCGCCATTGTTGGTTTGACCGCACTCGAGCTTGCAGAGATGTTAATTTCCTTGTCGTATTGTGTGCTTCAGGCTGCTGGTGCGCTTCCTCCACCGGTTGCTTCTCTGGTATCTCTGACTGAACTTGATTCAGTGCTTGCAGTATAGTTGGAGAGATTCCCATACCCATCATCCATTGCCCTATTTGAATTGGGGCTAAACTTTGTGGAACTCCCGTTTCTGGTGTAACAACTCTCAGAAGTTCGTCTTTAGTTGAGGACAGAGTGGTGTCCACCACCGGCGTCGGAATTTGCTTCTTCTTCTGGCGAGCCACGGAAGGCGTATGTTAACTAGTTTCTCTTAACATACGCCTCTAGAGCCCTTCCTTTTTTTTGTTTCACTTTATTTTTAACAACTGTTTCACAAATAATATAGCTAAACAATTTTTCTAGATAGAGAGTTTAATTGTGATACACTAACATTGTAAGAGAACTTTTAATTTTTGATACTCGTGTTGATGTTTCGGGTACCATTATTGAGGATCTGGCTACTCGTACTTAGATTTCAAGTATTCATACTGAGCACTGATAAGTACCGAATACCCGTGCTAAAGCTTCGAGTATATGCGTTGAGGTATGAAGTATCCATGTTAAGGTTCTAAGTACCCGTGCTGGGGATCTAAGTAGTCGTACTGAGCACATTGAGTACCCGTGCCGAGTATAGCAGATATTGAGTACTCGTGCTAAGCAGGGGCGGCTCAATAAGTTTTGTGGCCTAAAGCCAAGCGCGATGCCTTAAATTTAAAAAAAAAATTAATATTTATTTTATTTGAAGTCTATTTTTAATATATTGATATGTAAAATCATACGTAATTTCTTAAAATCTATCCATTTTCTATTTAGGAAAATTAAAGAGAGAAAACAGTAATATTCATGTCAAACCTATTTCACACTTTATTCACACGTATATAATTTAGGGAAAGATCTACATTGCCAAGTTTTTTACTGAAACAATAAATCAATCATCAATTAAAATATTATTATTTTTATTTATAAAGAACCTTTCTACTTAAAATAATTAATCAAATTTAACTAAGTACTCTATTGTGGGTAAAATTTGGGGCCCCTAAAAGAGTGAGGCCTAAAGCAAATGCTTTAGTTGCTTCACCCATCAGTCGGCCCTGGTGCTAAGTACGAGTAGTTACTATCGGATAATCTTATATGAAAAAATTTAATATATTAGCATTATTTATGCTAATATCGATGAAAATCTCTCACACAATTGAAGTGAGTTAATTTCACTAATAAAATCTTGTTTCCGGAATTTATTTGTTACGGGACAAAACTGTGATGACAAAATTGAACACTGAAGTTTCGGATAGGGGCCATTCCAGCGGGGCCCTAAAGATTTGGGGACTGAAATAGTAATTATTGCACTTTGTCACCGTAACATATCGAAGACAACGAGAAATTGAAAGTATAAAGGAACTTCTCGTTTGTTATTATCTTGTATCTTCTCTAATCTCGTCGCACGTGGGTGTATAATAAACGTATCAAAATTACCTGCCCGTGAGCTCTTTTTCACGTCACCAATCAATTTTTTTTACCGCTTTTAACTGAGTTTCTCTGATGCAATATCGTGACACTTCACTGACATTTCGTACCATTTTTTCTTTAATTGAGTACTCTCACACAATTTATTTTCCCTTTTATAACAGCATTTATCCTAATTTGTTTGATATTTTTAAACTTTTTCAAAAGTTGATTTGACTAATTCTTAAATTGAGACAAAGAAAATTGTACTAATTAATTTTGTTAACCTACATTTTTGTACCCTAAGGGTCGTTTGGCATAATGAATAAGCAAAAATAATTATGGGATAAAAATTTAATTCCGCCTTATCTTTCAAATGGTTACTAATTCTGGGTAACTTATTTGAGGATTAAAAATAGTATCGGAAAAATTTATACCAACCAGAGGATGGAATAGTAATCTCAAAATAAGTTATCCCAGCATAAAACAGTAAAATTGATAATCCTAGGATTAAAATAGGCACTAATAAATAATACCGGATACTTAATCCCAGTATAACTAATGTCAGCAAAAGGCCCTTAAGATTTTCAACAACAATTATTTTCTTAAATTTGGTAAAAGTAAAGATCAGGATAACATTATTTTTTAAATTTTTTAATTTAAAGTAATTAAAGATCAGGATAACATTATAAACTTCCAAAAAGAGATACTGGCAGGTAAGCATGTGGGAAAACAGTAATCACTGAAATAGCTATAAGCCTAGAACTTGAGAGCTTGAATAATTACTGTCATTTTGTACCTATTTTTTCCTTGTTTTTATTTTTTCTATTTTTTTTAATCTTACGTGAAGGTACTACTCTGTATTTACTTTTATCAGGAGTTGTTGACCTGATCTGCAGTACTTACAATACAATGGTTGATTTGATTTGATTTGACAAATTTTAACTTAATTTATTTGTCCAAATAACAACTTATACTTACTCTATTTCAATACTCCATATATTGTTGGACAAATTAATGGTACCTCAAAAGGGAATGTCTATCATTTTGATTTGGAAAAAATGTTCTTTAATTTATTATCGTGGAAATAATCTTTTGCAGAAATATAAGGTGATGCTGCGTAGGATTGATCTTTGTGGTCCGACCCTTCCCCGGATCCCGTGCATAATCGGAGCTTAGTGCACCAGACTGCCCTTTTTTGTTCTTTATTATATTATATTTAATAGAGTCAAACCAGCTGTTAACTAGTTATATTTAATAGAGCCAAACTAGCCGTTAACTAGTAATTGGAGCAACACCTATATAAACATGGTCTTTGGAGAGCTAAAGACACACTTTTCTGATACAACTTTCTGAATCATCTTCTTCCTCTTATATGGGTTTCTTTCTTGAATTTTTTGCTACTCCTGTTCCCAGTTTAATAACTGGAAGAGCTTGTTGAATCCTTGGGAATACGCCTAATTTTGTTCATTATTGTGTGGGCGAAATATCTGTAAAGACAGTGTCCTTAACACGCCTTAAGTTAAATCTTGTTCTCCATAATCAATTTTTCCAATATATATGACATATTTTGCTTATTGAGAATCAATTTGATCATTTTTTAAATTTAAATTGAATTAGCTTAATTTAATATTTTAAGTCAAAATTTAAATATTAAAAAATTATATGAAAAGTATCACTCCTATAAGTTACAATTCTTCTCATGATAATATGATTAAAAAATACATTTCTAAATGTTGATCTAACTTTATACAATTTGATTCTCGAGAAGCAAAATGCATCACGTAAATTGAACACGAGCGACTACTAGTTTACCAATTATTGATCGAAAAGAAAAGCTTGATAGTCATAGAAGATCATAGCTTATAGATTAAATTGGTAAAATAAAATTTTAATGCGAAGTATGATAACTGTACACTTCAAAAGAAATTTATTTGGTTCTTTTTCTTTTTCTTCTTCTCTTGCTCCTATTAATCATAATTCACGTTGAAAGAGCTTATTGATGGGTAAACACGAGTCACGAGTTTCTTTCACCCTTATGTTCTTATCCGATTTCTTAAAGGTAAATAAAATACGATAACTATATATATATATATATATATATATATATATATATATATATATATATATATATATATAGGATAAAAACTTATTAACATTTGGTGGA